GTGAGAGAAAAAGAGCGCTACGCGTCTATTGCACGTGGCTAGCTTAGTGCTACGTCAGTGCCAGTAGTTGCCGATCGGGCTCAGGGAGGGGCATTTCAGTAGACTGGGTGCCCTGCATGTATAATAGTTGGGGAAACACTGGTGTCTGTGCGATGCTCCGCCCCTTTTTGGGTAAAAACAGCCCATCCACTTTAATAGGTACTGACGAAAAACGAGTCATGTTTTCAATATTTAGGTATTTTTCAAATTCTCCATCTCAAAAGCTTCAAAATGATCTGAAAGTTTATGATTTTTCACCTGGCAACAAGCTAGATTTATTAAATGTGCTGATTAGAGAACTGGATTTGTATTTGTCTGGAGGGATCTCATTGGGAATTTCATACGCATTTTTAAAAAGTTCCAGCTTTTCAGTCCGTAATAGCAAAAAATAAAACAAACTGCCGTTGTACGTAGGCCTGTCGCAATAAACAAATCAATTAATTGCATGAAAAATGAAAATTATCAACCTCATTTTCATTTATCGGTTTTATCGTTTCTTCGTGTCTCTCTCTTTCTGAAGACGCTGGATGACAAAAGGCTCAACTCCGGTGCACTTCACTGACCACTCCCATTCTCTTTAAAATCCATTTTAACCGTCTAAAAATCACGTTTTTGAATCAATAAAAGCAGCTCAGCTGAGAAGCTAAGCTAACAGGTCGACCTCCAGAAAAAACCTCCGTCCAAAATTCACGGTTGAAACCCGTGCCTTCGTGTAAAAAGTTGTTTTTCTCTGCAAAAAGAAGCTGAGAACTCGTTTACTGATTTTTTTGTTAAAAACTTTGTGTGAAAAATGCTAAAGAGCTCAAACCACATCGAGCGGCCGCCATTTTGAGAACCGAAGAGAGACAGCCCATGTCCCGTCAAGGGGCCTCCCTCCCATTTTTCTTAAAGAGACACGCTGCTTGCTCCGTCACTATCCATCCTTCGGTTCAAACAGTCTTATACTGCCATCCGGCGGTCAAAAAAGTTACTACATACAAAATTAACAAACATTTCTTTTTAAATTCTTCTCACCTCAAACAAACATCATTCCTGTGTTTTGTTTTGTTTGAAACTGTTAAAATAAGATCCATCTATTCCCTTGGGAATTAACAGACATATTTTATTCAGCTCTGCTCACAAACTCCTTAGATGACTTAATGTAATAGCTTCTGCACTTGACCTCAGAAAGGAGAGAAGCATCCTTTCTGCAGACGTCTCAGGACGAGAGAAAGATACAGAACCAGAACCAGCTGCTGGCATTGAATCCAGGACTCCAGCTGCCTAACAGACAACGAACCATCACACCGCAGAGTGGTAAATCCCAGCTGACTACCATATGGACCTTCGTCCCTCTAACGATGATGGGTGAACTTTGAGGAGACTTCAGCCTCTCAGTCACCGAAACATCTGAGGCTGGTACCATTTAAGCAGCTGTCGGAACCATGCTCTGACCATCTACATCCTGTTAGGACAGAGACTTTTCAATGCCTTTCTGGTGACGTTACATCACAATAAACTTATCAGACAAACTTAGCTCACCTTAGACACACTTTTAACTACTTCATAAACAGAAACCAGTCCTAAGTCTGCCTTTTAAGTTTCACTAATTTGAATAATCAATTTGATTTTTGATGCAAAGCTATTTGTTATTCAGTTAACTTTTGTTCCGCATAATCTTAATCATATATATCAGATTATTATTTTTACAATAAAATACATGAAATTCAACTGAAGTTGTGATTATTTTGGCATATCTGTGTGGATTAATTGATTATATATTCTTTAAACACGAGAAAAGAACTCGCGTTCAATTTAAATTAATTTGGGGTAGAGAGACTGATTTTTTCCTTTCCGAGAGAGGTGGTGCCCAAACAATGAGGTTATTTGTATAATACATGCATATCTTATGAGCTTAACTCTTAACTGATAATGAACAGTATATATACAGCCCCATATCACTACAAAAGAAGAAAAAAGATTAGAAAAACCAACTCTTGACAGATTTCTTTCCACCTCAAGTGGAAACGACAATAAAGTTGACTTGAACTAGAACCATCGAGTGTGTTTCAATAAAAACAATCGTTTTGGTTATCCCAAAACTCAGAACTGGAATTTTTAAAGAATTGTCAAAAAATCCTTATGGGCATACTGATGTGAGAAACTGTCCATTGTGTTTGCCATGAAATACATTTTGTTGATTTATTTTAATCCCAAGAATCACTTATTGTCATAAAGCTAAAGAACCCTCTGGGGATTCGAAGAAAGAAATGGCACGTTGTTGCTCCACTCCGGTGTTTTAGTTTGCACGGCTCAAAGTAAAAGTGAGCACACATGAAACACACTTGTGGTGTGTGAAAGTGGTCTAAAGATGCCAAAAACAAGGCGCAACTGCAGCAGAAAATATTGGCTGTCGAAAATATCTGGAGTCAAAAATGGGCGGGGCTTAGTGTGAGTAAAATGCGCTATTACCGTTTGTAATTGTTGCATTCACGACAGAAATGTACAGAACTGACAAATGACGGAGTCGTGAATAAAAGCTGATGTGTCACCGAAAGGACTCGCAGAAAACAATGGCGAGGCCAAACATTTGAATACATTTGCAAGAAGAGAATACTCCACAAACATATCATCCATCTGGTCTTTGTGAGAGATTTTAAAGTTGAGGTTGGAATCAGCAGCAAGAAGAGGATACAAAGTCCTCTGCTTCCTTTGCCTGCTCGTCGTCTCAGATTTGTCTTGCCGCCTGCTTCCAGTCATGCTCTTCAGATGTGTAGAAGCTTGTCTGGGTTACACAACAGCGACTGTTCTTTGGCGAATGTTGCAGCTCTGTCTCCACTGCTGTCAATTACCAGCAGGATAAAATCTGCCTCCTTCCTGTCCTTTTGCTCTCCGGTACTCTTGTTCAGCTCCGGTTTTCAGCCATCTACGGTCTTTTCCGACTGTTCGCGTTCGTCTTTTCGCTCCGTCTCCCTGCCACTTGTTTGATGCAGATTACCAAGAAATGTTCAGTTTCAAACCACTGGAGTAGGAGATTAACTCTTACAGGAATAATTTTAAGAAATCTGACAGATTTTTAGTCTTCCACACAAAATGTGCTCTCAAGTTACTGAAGAGACGAGAAGCAGCTCCTGTGCAGAGTTTTTGCGAGTTTCTATCATCTGTTTTCGTCTTTCTCTACAGGTGACTACGTGTTGATGACCGTTTACTTTGATCTCAGCAGAAGGATGGGTTACTTCACCATCCAGACCTACATCCCCTGTATTCTCACCGTGGTCCTGTCCTGGGTCTCCTTCTGGATCAAAAGTGACGCCACCCCTGCCAGAACGGCCCTAGGTATGCAACGACACACATGGACGCCATGATGGTCAGAAAAACTAACGACTTTCTTCTCCAGAAATCTACGGCTATGTTAATGACTGTCTAAATGTCACGAGTATAATTTACCCACACATCGTTCAAATACGTGTCTGTTTTTAATAAATAGTCATGTCACATACATCCAACTTTTACATTAGTAGAATGTCGCAAATTAAAATGTAAACTCCACGGCTACGCGTAACAGACACAAAAAATATTTTTGTACCATTTATTTTCTCAATCTTTGTATTTTTTCCTGAAACTGACATGGAGCATCTTGCACACACACACATATATATATATATATATATATAAATATATATACACACAGTATATTTCAATTAATTTCAGTTTATTTATATTGCACCATATCACAACAAAGTTGTCTCAGGGACTTTACAGAAACATTCACATAGAAAAGCCAATTCGTAAAGATCTCTATCTAAGGAAGTAGCAAACAAGTTGAATCTTGGCTTCTTGGCAGTCTCCCATTCTGAGCAAGCACAGTGGCAACAGTGGAAAGGAAAAACTCCCTTTTAAAAGGAAGAAACCTCCAGCAGAACCAGGCTCAGGACAACCGTACATGTCTGAACCCATCGTGGAACTCGTTCTTCGTCTAAACCTTTTATAGCAATTTTTTTTGACAATTTGAGATCAAAGAAGTTGATCATCCACATTTTATTTTAGCTATTGTAATGCTTTCTAGGAACACCTGTAATCGTACATCTTAAGAGGAGGAGGACAAAAAGGACAAGTCGTGACCATTTAAACATCTTCATTGTAAAATGTAGTTGGGTGTATTCAAAAACATTCAAGACGAAAACAACTGGACTTTATTTGTAACGGAAGACGTTTCGCTTCACGTCTGAGAAGCTTTCTCGATTCAAAGAGCAGATCGTGTGGGGTTCAGGTTATAAAGCTGAGATAAGATACACATACATATGCAGATTGACCTATCACACCTCCAGTTTAAGGTCTTTGTTAATCTAATTCACAGATGAGGCCCCTCTAGTCCCATCTGATAGGTGTGAAACTGGCTGGGTATCAGTCCTAAAGCTGCATTATAAGTTTCCTTCACTCCCCTCTCAAACCACCTGACAGTTTTCGTCTTGAATGTTTTTGAATGTACCATGTCCTGGATGACTGAGAATCCTCACCAGCGTAGTTTGGTGTCAAACCTCGGAGTTCACAGGTGGATGCTGGGCCTGAGAAAAAGCAAGTAGTAGAATTAAGCAGAAAATCTTTCAATCCAAACATGCTGGCCTCGAATGGTAGATTGAGTTAGCGTCACCCCGTTGCTTGTGCATGGAACTCCATGTGTGTTTTTGTGAGTTGAAGTTCTGTAGAAACGTTATAAAAGTGGTTGCCACGTCAAAAATCCAAGGTGTCCACCGCCATGAATAACCGGCCTCCCCAATCATTTGAGGAAACTGCTTTCTAGTTGTTTTTAATTGCTGAGAAAAGTAGTTTACTCAAATGATCATGGTGGCCAAGGCCATCATTAGACTCCCCTGGCTCTGGACAAAAGTGCACACCTCGTACGTGGAAAAACTATAAAAACACTTGAATAGCTTGCCCCAAAAACATTAAGGTTCACATTCCCTGTTCAACTCTAGTCCAGAAAAACACTCACTAGTCAATTATCTTAACAACGGGGAACTTTATTTTGCGCTGAAGTGGTGATATGGTTCATAAAATGTTCAAGATTGGAGTTAAACTACAATTTCAACAGGTACGAGATCATTTGTAAGTTTTCTACAGAACTCCATCAGTACTGCACGTTACTTTGGTCATACTTTGTTTCATTGCATGCCAATTTATTTTTCTCTTACTGCATGCCCACCCATGTTCATGATGATGTCAAAGTACTGAGGTAAGTCTTTGACCGTGTCGTCCCGTCTCTGGTGTCTTGAATTTGGATCTCTCCCCTTGTTTCTCGAGAATGTTCCATTTTCCAGTGAAAGTTGTTCCATTTATAGGTGACAGTTTTATGAAACGTCTGTGACATGATTTGGTCAGATGCCACAGGACAAACCCATTTCACAGACGCTCTTGTCAAAACACCATAAAATGGGTCCAATGTTCTTAGATCAGCCGATGGTCATTCACATTTTCTACTGTGGTGCCAAGATGAAGAACAGCGCCTTTACATGGGCACAAACATATTTTATGTTTAAAGCATTAAGAGTACTTGTGAATTTCTGTCTGTACTAAAAATAGAAAGGTTATGACGTCCTACTTTTATAGCGCAATGAACATGTTTTGGGAAAGCCGACCTATTGTCAGACTATAGCCCAAAAGACAAGTATCCAATCTGGTTCTTGAAGGCTTCTACCAATGGTGTCAGAAGCATTTTTACTTTGTGTGTTTGGGGAGGCGGGAGGGGGTCCTCCCCCATATAATTTTTAATAAAGTAGATGCAATTTCCTGCATTCTGGTGTATTTTAACGAGTTGTTAAACATCTACGTTCACCTACATAAGTAAACACTTGATCCAGTAACTATTTTAGAGAGCACGGCACAAGAAGTACCCTGACCAACAGCTCTCCTTGTGTGAATAGAACACCCACCCCCCCAGCCGCACTAACGTAGCACTAAGCTAGCCCGCAACACAAGTGTCTCCCCCTGCCCCATCCACACCAAAAAAAAAAAACCTCGAGATGAGTACCCTGTCAAACCAAGTGATCCAGGAAAACGCTGCGAGGTGGTGAGTTGTTGTAGCAGCAAAACCCGGAGTGGACTTTTAGTGGTTTGAGTTTTCTCCAATTAATCAAGTGGAAGGGATTTGTTCACAAATAAATAGAAACGGCGCTGGCTGAATAATATTTCTTGGTAAATGTGTAGATTGTCCAAATTAATATCTTTTAAATCTGATGGGGACACTTCACATATAATTGTTGCGACACCTATGGTTACCAACATGCATAATTTTTTCCTGCAACATGCTGGATAGTGGCCCATGAGGACCAAGATTGGACACCCCCTGCCTAAAAACGACATCCTAAGTCTCTTTTTAACTTAGAATGCCAAGTTTGCTCCGAAGTGCAAGAAAAGGGTCTTTTCATAGCATTCTTTTAAAGAAGATGACAAAACTTTACCTGCAGTTATTTAATAAATAAAGTTTAAAAAGTGCGCTTCACTCAAAGTGCAGCTGTGGCTGATGGGAATGTCACTAAATATAACGGGTCATGAATTATTTGGTATTGATTTAAGGTGTCGCACGAGCTGGACTTCAGTCAAACCGCACTTGCAAATTTGATGAGTTTAAGGAAAGACCTGATCAGCACCTTTGCCACAAGGAATCAGTAGAAGTTGATTATGTTTCTGAAAGAGTTTGCCAAGGAATAATTGATAAAATCAGCTTTTACAAGTGGCTTTTGGAGTCTTTGACCTTTTGAGCAGATTTCACTGATATTGAACACGTTTGCTCCTTTTTGTACAGCTATTGGTTGTTACATTAGTTTGAGTGGTGAAGATACAAAGTAAACTGATAGATCAGACCTTTTCAAGTAGGCTTGTGGGGAAAGTTTAAACAAAATAGCAGAAAACTGTAATACTTCAAGCAGGATTACCACACTATTTCTACTGAATTAACCATGTAAACCTCCATGAATTTGAGATTGGATACACCACTCCAGATATTTTCGTTTCAGCTGATTTAACCGAAACAAAGTAACATGCCCTGGTTCACAAAACTTCTCATCCATTTTAGCGCATTGTTTCAATAATAGGCTTTATTGATTTGGTTTCTAGCCTTCCATGTCCAAAATAAGCTACATTCTTTACGTAAAAGTTCCGAATTTTTAGTCCGCATCAATATCAAGGTTTGGGTTAAACCCCCGTTGTTTGCAGAAACTCCGAAGTGATTATTTCATGCTGATGATCTTAAGCTGGAGTCACTATGTAGACCATGTATGCTCCCAGTAACAGCAAAGGCTGTTTCTTCTTCGAAGACTGAAGATGTTTGGGGTCAGTCAGAACATCATAACCTCTCCCTGCAGTCCATCTATGAGCAGTCTGTACTTAGGCGGGCACGGAGGGTATTGTTGGATCCGTCCCACATCCTGTATGTGGAATATGAGCTCTTGCCTTTCGGTAGAAGGTACAGAGTCCCAAAAACTAACGGAACCGTTTTAAATATTCTTTTGTGCCCACATCCATCAAAATTTTAAATGGATATGTTGAGGCCTGGAAGGTGTGCAGTAACGTTGATGTTCTCTGTTGTGTATGTAGTCTTGGTTTTTAGCTGTTTATATGAATTGCATGTGCATCTACTGTCTGTCTGGGCAGCTGCTGCTATGCTGTATACACCCCTGAGTCCATGACAAATCTCCCCTAGGGGACAATAAAGTATATTCTAGTCTATGTCATACTGAGGAACACAAAAGTGGAAATCTGAAGAGCATGAATGCGTAACTCTGGCTGAATACAACAAAAGGAAAAAGAGCTGGCTGATGAAGACGTACAAACACCGCCTTCTCCATCGACAGTCATCGTTTGGAACCATTTTGGCTCCAGTAAAGTCAAAGGGGAAAACGATGTTGGAAAAAGTACCGAGCGACTTGTGTTGCCACTAACGGGGGAGTATCGAGCAAATGACAATTCGGTTCCTGGAAACTATGCTTGTGTGCTGCGTTTTGCACTTTGGACCCGATATAGGACTTGATCTTCACAGCCGTTCTCACAATCTACAACAAGCCCAAAAAAGTTGTGGGAACACTGATACAAGTGAGTAAAAAATCTCCAGTGTCACCTTCATTGCCAAAGAACGTGCACTTTGTTCCTTTTATGTTTGAGATGTTTCTCCCTTTGCAATTGCGAGGTGCCTAAAGATTCCCGTCTCTACATGGATCCACAAAAACCTCAATTTTTCTATGGATGGAAGGAGAAACTGCAACACTTCCTGAGCAGTTTAGATAAACCCTTAAACTTTGCCCCAAGGAGCTGCAATCCCCTACCAATACATATTTATTCAT